TTGCTTATTACACCCACAAGAGTATTCGCTTCACCCTGTGTAACATACAGCATTTGTCAAAGCTCTGTTCTGTAGCAGCAAGAAGGAAAAAAAGACTAACAATAAGTGAGAACCAAGTTAACATCGGTGTAATCAAGCTTTTGATCGAAAGGTCTTAGCAATCTTGTTGATTACCAAAGCTAGCTAGCTCTTTGGTATGTTATCTTAGTTTGTTTTGTTTTGTTTTTTTTTTGGGTCCGGTCGTGGGGCCTGAACTCTGGGCCTGGGTGCTGTCCCTCAGCTCTTCAGCTCAAGGCTAGCACTCTACCACTTGAGCCACAGTGCCACTTCCGGCTTTTTTTTCTTTTTGCTTATGTGGTGCTGAGGAATCAAACCCAGGGCCTCAGGCATGCAAGGCAAGCGCTCTACCACTGAGCCACCTTCCCAGCCCATGTTATCTTAGTTTGAAAGTGACAGTTCTGGGAAAATGTTATTCTTTCTAATGGATGAGTAAAAATTCCATTGTGTATATATCATATTTTCTTGATCTATTTGTCCATTTGAGGGGTGTCTGGGCTGATTTCATGTCTTGGCTATGGTTAATAATGCTGCAGTGAACATGGTTTTATTCTGGTGACTTTCCTGTAGCCTAGATAAATGCCCAGGAGTAGAACTGCTGAATTATAGAGTAGTTCTATGTTTAGTTTTTCGAGGAACCTCCATACTGCATTCTAGAGTGGTCTTTCATTTCCATCAACAGTATATTAGAGTTCCCTTTTCGCTGTATCCTCCCCAGCCTCTGCTGTTGTTTGTTTTCTTAATAATGGCCATCGGAACTAGGTTGAGTTAGAATCTCAGTGTTGATTTGCATTTTCTTTGTGGCAGGAGATGTTAAGCATTTCTTTGTCTATTGACCATTTTTACTTCTGAGAAGTCTCTCTTTAAGTCATTCTATTGTCAAACGTTGCAAAGTTGTATTGTTTCCCTCACAATGTGCAGAAACTAAAATTAGTCCTATAAACCTATAAGTAAATGCATTGGGTGGTATGCAAGTGGTTAAAAATATGTTAACTGAAATATAGTAGATTCAAGGGAGAACTCCAAAGAGTGTATTCCTTAGAAAGGCAAAATGGAAGCTCAACAAAATAAATACCAGGAAACAGGTACTTGCAAGAAGTGGGGTGGAGCCAAGGTGAGAGGGGTAGAGGTGGAAGGGAGAATGCAGTCAGGAATCAATGCATATACTACAAAACTAAGAGAAGTAAGGGAAGGCGTGTGTTGTGAGGGATGGGCGAGAATGTTGAAAGGGGGGACGTGGATCAGAATGCATTGTATTCATAAACTGCTTTGGTTAGTGGCAACTCCTTGTGCAATGACTTAAAGATAATGTTTTGAAAGAAATTTACAGTACTCATGATACCACCCTCCATGATTGATGTCAGCTGGCTGATGATTTCAGCTGATGGTAACATACTTTATCGTAACCTCCATTGTATATTTCATAATTTTTTAGTGCACAACATATACCAAGGGGAGGAAATACCTTCTGAGAACATTATTCAAATTGTTTTTGTTGCATGTAAACCTTAACTTCATTATTGTAGTCAATTAACTCAAGATTTTCAGAGGTAACGGGTAGTATTTTATCTAAATAACTGTCAAGCTAAATAATGACCCTATGTTAGGTATTTGAGTCAGAATTGGTTGAGAATCAGATCATAAAGTCATTCACATAGGGTAATGGTACTTCACATTTCACTTTGCAGAACCAATTAAGTACACATAAGTCTAAATTTGGACAGCCCTCAGGCCCCGACCTCAAGCCCCCAAACCAGCACACACACAGACATATACACAGACAGACAGACACACACACACACACACACACACACACGCTCATATCTCATCTGAATTGTCCATTTTTAGTCACCATTAACATTAAAAGGTTAACATTAAAAGATTAACATTAAAAGGTTATGTGTATGGTCTCATGGAATATTTTCTCTCTTTTTACTCCTTTATGTCTATTTTTTAATTTTCCTTTGGTTCCTTTTTTTCTGCTTCTAAATTAAGTTTTGTGATTCAAGAGAGTGGGTATTTTCTAGGGTAGAGAGAAGGCAAGCTGTTTTTCCCTCTGTTTAACAGGTAAAATTCTCTCAATAAAATAAGCTGTAACATCATAAGCTGAATGTGGAGGAGTGTTGGCATCTTGTATACAGGGAGTTGAGAGCATTTTGGGAGATCTCAGGAAAACAATGAGAGATTAACCCGTGAATTTCTAACTGTTAACCGGGGTCCAGCAGAGATAACTATGTAAACTGAAGACGTATCTCAAAACAGGTCTCAGAAGTTGGAAGATGTGAAAGAACTATACTGGTATTGTAGTTCACATTTCCGTTTAATTTTATTAAGATCCAGTCATATTTTTCTACATCAAGCTTAAACACTTCCTTTAGACAATCACATTTCCTTAGGAACCCAGAACTTTGAAGGAATCGGTAGAAGTTTTTTCCCTAAATGTTTTATTTTTATTCATTTACTGTTTTTGAGACGAGGCCTTGCTATGTTGTTCAAGTCCTGGATTCTCATACACAAGGGATTCTCCTTGAGCTTCCCAAATGCTGGGATCCCAGCATTATAACATCATTTCAGGCTCTGTTTTATTCTCAAAATAATAAATGATCATTGGTTTACACGGGGCAGATGAGCTGAAGGAATTTTCAGTATAGTCAAGGGAAGTTTTATTTCTTTATTCAGTTAAGTCAGGAAAAAAAAGGATGGAATAGTTGGAAAGAATTGGTACTGTTGAGTGGAAATAAGATGAATGGAAAATTGGCAAGCACGCTGGATATTTGTGGAAATAATGGTTTTGGAAGAACATTTGCCCGACTGGGATAAATTATTTGACTCTTCAAACTGATTACAATTTGTATTGTATTATATTTGTTTGTAGAAACTGATTGCATGAATAATGTAATGAAATGGGAGAACAGGGTAAAGGCATAGTTACGTTGACCTAAATCTTCTTTTGTCCATAAGCATCGTTACTTCATTTGTATATTGAATGTCTGCATGACAAATATAGGCAGACCATTGTATCATAGGATTGTGTTTTTTAAATTGCTTTCTCAATTGCAGCCTGGTCCTCTGAATAACTTTTTTCAAGCTCCCACTTTAGCTGTATGTAAGAATATTTAATATAAAGCTCAGAGGTAAGTAGACAGAGAAACAGAAGTAAATAGACTCATTTCAGCAGTTCAGCAGGGCCCACTAGCTTGTAAAATAGTGAGAAAAGATGCTCATATGGGATTCAGAAAGCTACGGTTTGAGTATTGTCTTTAACATTTACCTGCTATCTAATCCTGGACATTGCTTCAGTTTCTTTGTAGATGAAAAAAATTGGCATAATCACCAAGATTTGATGTGAAGATTAAATTAGTTAATATGTGTATTGTGCAGAAACGATCTGGTGTATAATGTAAAATGCAGTTATTGTTTCCTTGGTGAAGATGGGTTGGTTAGACTGTGTACTGTGAATAACTCTGGGGTTTAACACATTAAAAATACCTAGACTGTGGATGCCAAATCTATACACATTTGGTAATTATCTTATGGAACAAAAAGTGCCATCTATTTCAGTGTGACGTTCACACAAAGTTTGTTTTTCTTGTGTATTTTCCAGTTAAGCAAAGCAATCAATTCTTCAACTATAATTGTGGTGTCAGTAAAAGTAACTACAATTATATTTCAACATGTATATCCTAAAACAACTTTTTATTTTCAACAATGAAATATAATTACTGAATAAAATGATGTAATTTATATATTTTTTTGTTTTTTATAAGTGATGAAAATGAGTACCATGATAAATCTCATGATGGTAAGCTAATAGCAAAACAATTGAGGGAGGGGGATCACTAAATCTGTTGTAAAAGGAGGGAGGGAATTAACTTGGAGGGACACAAGCCCCTCAAGATGTGATAGTGCCCATACCATTTCAGTTAATTTTCTTTCAAAATTTATAAAATAGATGCATATTTTTTTAATTTAATTTAATTTTATTTGTGAACATACTGTACAGAGGGGTTACAATTACATGGGCAGGATAATGCGTACATTTCTTACCAAGCATTGCAGCCTCCTCCTTTTGTTTACCCTTAAATAGATGCATATTATTTCCATTTTACTGTTCAGCTAAAGCTCTCAGGGTCTGATGCAACAGTACGGAAAGGCTGTTAAAAAGGACAGGCAGGGGTTATTTTATTTTTTATTGTAAAGGTGATATACAGTAACAGTTACATAAGTAAGGAAATGAGTACAATTCTTGTAGAACATTGTTGCCCCTTCCCTCATTTTCTGCAGCCAGAGGTTAGGTCCTAGTTATTACATTGCAAAGTCTGCTTTCTTAGAAAGCTGTGTACACCATCTGACGAGTAGTATAGTACAGCAACTATGGCTGATCCACAGAAACACAACTTCCTTAGCATTTCGATATTTTACATTTCAACTAGTTTCGTTTCTTTGCATATTTGTTTAAAATTACATCTCATCCTCATAAGCCTGTGTCATTAAAACCTGAAAGGTGGAGTCGCTCACCAGGCACAATAGGAAAAGAGTTCTGGCCTTGGGGCTGGCTCTGCCTTGGCTGTTCACTAGTGATTTCCTTAGGGGGCAGAAACATTTCACAGTGCTGAAATTGTCCACCTTTTCAAATACAGTGAAGTATTTGATGATCTTGAGTATCCATTTGTTTTTTTGATACTCTGTGAAAACTTATAAATCTCTCTGTCTTTTCCTGAATCACAATGTATTCCAGAGTCCTAAATAAATGTCTGTTCTGTTGAAAGACTTCTGTTGAAAGATTTCCCTTAGAAATCCCCAGGATTTACATAATAAGTCTGGATAAAGGATGTTGTAATTAGCAAACCCAGAATGAGGGTTTTAGTTTCTATGAATCCACTTCAATTCTTTTCATTCATTATTTAGACAGTCTGGATTTTTCATTTTCATGTTTTCCATAGGACTACTTTACAAATACAAAGAAGGAGTTGAAAAAAGACCCTCAGCAAGATTACCAACTAGAATATGCCATGGAAAACAGCACACACACAATAATTGAATTTACCAGGGAACTGCACACCTGTGACATCCATGACAAGAGCATAACGGTAAGACATGACAGGTGGCATGGATTGGATGTGTATACTGGTAAGTCACTTTACCAACTACATGAATAAATGCTTAGAAAGTACCTTCAAAGCCAGGCACTGATGGCTCACATCTGTAATCCTACCTACTTAGGAGGCCTGAGATCTGAGGAGCTGGCAATTCAAAGCCAGCCAGGTCAGCAAAATCCATGAGACACTTATGTCCTATTAAGTACCAAAGAAGACCAGAAGGGGAGTTTTGGCTCCAAGTGGTAGAGAGCTAGCATTGAGTACAAAAGCTCAGGAACAAATCCCAGGCCCTGAGATCAGGCCCTGAGTTCAGAAGAAAATCTAAGATTATAAATTTCAATAAATGTATTATCATGTTAATTTGACATTTTGAAGAGCTCTTTAAAGTTTTTATGATCATGTTTAAAGTGAATCTTTGCTTCTGTATAAAATTTGAAAATACACACTAGCTAAAGATTGTAAGAGATGTTTTCTTCAGGGAGAATTATGATATTGATTCACATGATTTATAACTGACTGTGTTTTGTCAATTTCCAAAACAAAAATGATGAAAATCTGATTAGAATCACCCACTGCCATATTATATGACATTTTTTTAGTTTTAGATTTCACACAAAAAATTTACGTATATTCAAATTAAACATTTGGAGAATAATAATCCATGTGCAAATGTAACATTTTTTTACACAAGTTGCACTATTTTCATTTTGTATAGGCCAATAAAATTTTTTTTGTTTAATACACTAAAGCTTTTAAAAAAAGAATATTAAAAAACCCTCAGAGCTGGGAAGGTGGCTCAGTGGGAAAGCACTTGCCTTGCATGCCTGAGGCCCTGGGTTTGATTCCTCAGCACCACATAAGCAAAAAGAAAAAAGCCGGAAATGGTGCTGTTGTGGCTCAAGTGGTAGAGCGCTAGCCTTGAGCTGAAGAGCTGAGGGATAGCACTAAGGCCCAGAGTTCAGACCCCACGACTGGACCCTCCCCCCAAAAAAAAAAACCCTCAAATAATTCTAATTAACATTCAGTGTAAGGAGTAAAAGAGGAATAAAAACACATGCCAGGACATAGATCAGGTTTTAGGTAACATACAGGGCAATTATGTTTTAATTGGAATAATAATTATAGTCATCTGACTTATTAAGAAAGAATATAGCAAAGAGAACATTTAAAATCAGGAGCTTTTCCTTTGTTATTTTCAGAGTTCTTATTACCAGCACCTGGCAAAAGCATCTTAGTCTGTGGGAGGACCAACAATTTCTTGATACTCTAGCAAACCTTTCTCACCACACAACCCTCTGGGCAATCTCTCTTAGTGGCTCAGAGGAAACCAGTTTCAACTGACAGTGCTTCCCTCAGTTGGAGTACCCCAGTCCCTTGGAAATTCCCAGGATTCATAAAGGGATTCAAGGTTGACTCTAGTGTAATAAACCTGGAATCTACAATTCCTTCCATATTTGTAAATGCATATGCACGACTAGCCTATTGCCTGGGAAAATAAGCGTATTATGAAGAATCTTATGATAATTTTAATTTTGCTTATTTTTCCTAAAAGGTCTCATCACATTCTAACAACTTTCAATTTCCCAAAGTTGCTGCTGATTCACAATAATATTTACTTGGTAACTGTTCACTGCTACTTTAGGATTTTGAGGGTGACAGATTTACTACCCTCATGTTTATGAAAGCAAAATTTCAGAGTCAGTTTTCCTTTTGCCTATTTTGGGTCACACATCTTGCCTGTCAAGAGGTCTCTTTCTAAAAACAGTAACTCCTATGATTGAAACCTTAACAACTTAAGTCCGCTTTGTGAAATCAGAGCCCATGTTGAGAACTTCAAATGTCATCAGTTTCTTTCCTCCATTTTTATATCCTTCTTTCAATAGATTTCATTAGACTCAACTCAAAGGTAAAGAAAGTACTTGTCTGAGATCTAACATATCCATGTCTGCTCATCAGGATAGCACAGTGCGAGTGATCTGGGCCTACCATCAGGAAGATGTAGGAGAAGCTGGTCCCAAGTACCACGACTCCAATAGAGGCACCAAGAGTCTACGTTTGTTGAATCCAGAGAAAGCCAGCATGTTGCCTACAGTCTTGCCGTACTTTGACCTTGTAAATCAGGACGTAAGTTATTTTAGGTTTCATGACTGTGTGGATGATTTTACAGAAAGTGTACCATTTTTGCCTATGTAAATTGTATTTAATACCATGCCAACAGAATGTAACTGTGTGTCTTTCTCCTCTTTTTATTAAGACAGGTCCCAATCCCAAACAAAGGTACAACGTATTGGTGCCAAATGTTTAAGATTCCTGTGTTCCAGGAAAAGCATCACGTAATAAAGGTAGGCAATTCATTTGGCCAAACTTTTCAAGTGGAAAAAGAAACGTCTGTCTTTAAAATGAAAATAACGAAAATAATATAGAAACAAGTTTTAATTATAAAAAAGTTATTTAGATGGGGCCAGTGGTTCATGCCTGTAATCCTAGTGCCTCAGGAGGCTGAGATGTGAGGATCGCTGTTGGAAGCCAGCACAGGAAGAAAAAGAGTCCCCTTGGGACTCTATCTCCAATTAACCACTCAAAAACCAGAAGTGGAGCTGTGGCTTAAAGTGGTAGCGTGGTAGCCTTGAGCACAAGAGCTCAGTGACAGCACCCACGTCCTGAAATCAAACCTTGGGAGTGACGTGCGCACGCACACACGCACACACACGCACGCACACACACACGGAGTATTTAGAGAAGAAATAACTGGCTTGATGGACACACACACCCTTTAAAAAGTCTTATTATTTAAAAGAGTACATTTACCTATTGATAAATTCAGGAAAATGACACTTGTCAAAACATTTTTTTTGTGAATACCTGCTACAATAAAAATTTATGATAGTGTGACAAGAAATTATTGTTGTGGTGTTTCTTTGAATAAAAGCAAAAAGGAAATGACTGATTTTTTTAGAGAATTTCTAAAAGTACAGAATTGTGTAATAAATATACCTATTTTGTCTGTGGCAAAGTGAGGTAGGTCCTCCAAAGGTTTGTGATGAATGAATGAATGAACAAGAATTGCGAAAAAATGTACATCTTTTGTACTAGACTCAATCTATAGATGCTGAAGATTATGCTCTACAGTCTCAAAACATCCAGTAATTGTAAGATATCATCAAGCCACAAGAAAGAATATAGAATTATATAAAGTATACAAATAATTGTAAGCATTCAGAAGAAGCCAGATAGCTCTACCTTTCTACTAGCCTCAGTCTGTATAATGATGCAGAGTAAATGTGAGAAAGGATCATGTGTTTAGATTATGGAATCTAGAGAACTTGTGGGTTTGAGTTTCTGTCCCATCCCGTACTTTTTGTCCTCTCTTTGGGTACTGTTCTTGTCTTGCTTACTCCCCTATAAAAGGTAGGAAATATGAACATTTTCTCGTTCTTTTTCTTTTCCCCAGTACGTGGGCTTGAATACAGGGCCTAACATTTTTGCTTGGCTTTTTCACTCAAGGAAGTCATTCTACCATTTGAACCACATTTGCATTTCCAGCTTTTAGCTGGTTAATTGGAGATAAGAGTCTCATATACTTTTCTTCCTAGGTTGGCTTTGAACCACCATCTTCAAATCTCAGCTTTCCAAGTAGCTAGGGTTACAAGTGTAAGCCACCAGTGATCAACCAAAACTATCTTTCATAGTGAAGGCCCAGAAGAGAATAAAGCATCATACTAGAAATTTTTATCATATCCAAGTTCTAAAATAGAATTACTTCTACTAGTGATAAATTATTTACCTTTCTGTGTTTTGTTTACTTCCTCTAGAACTGGGGTAATGAAAGTTTATACCTAACAGGGCTATTATTAAGTACTAAGTGGATGAAATGTGTTTAATAAAGTATTTAGAACTGTGCCTGGCACATAGTGTATATTAAATAAAATAAAATTAATAGAACCTTTCCAGTGTACTTTTGCTAATTTGTTGATCATTTTATTGGGATTCTGGGTTCCCCGGGGTTTCTAAGACCTTTCTAATAAATGGATTTTAAATAAACACCTAGATTATCAATCATTCCATTTAGGAAGGTTACCTTGAAAATTTTTCTGCTTTGGAGATTGTGAAGTTGAGGTTAAAGCAAAACAAAACACAACACAACACTAGCATTCTTAACAAGCCCAGGAAGAAAAATGCTATGTTTTATTACTTGCAACTGAACAAAACATCTTTCCATGAAATTAGACACACTGCTATGTTCTTCTGTTAGTAGCATTCATAAATCTGAGTGATTTACTTTGGAGATGTTTCCTAGGACAAGAAAATCCAACTGATTAACATCAAATAGCTGTGGAATGTTCTTGCAGCCTGAATACTGTATAGCCATAACAAAATTTTTAGAAAAATGATGTCTTATGCCAGGCACAGAGCTTGAATGTTTGACATTATATACTATATAATGGATATCCTATCCACTTTCCTTATTGGGTTGTCCCTATTAAAATAAAAGGGCCCTGCTGAAGAGAGAACTTCATGCACAGATTTCAGAAATGTGAAGTGTGAAAGAGGGTTTCTATTTCTATTCAGGTTTAATGTTTGTAATGTGGTCATTGGAACATTGTGTGTCAAACTATACAATTTTATAATTATCAGAATTAGTTCTTCTGTGAGTGAATCTCTTCTCTGACCCTCAACCTCCCTGCATTGATATTCCACATGTTTTACTTGATCTGGGTTCTTTTTCTCTTTGTGGAAATAGCTTCTTGTTCTGTTATCAGGCTGTATTTGCATGGTCTTCATGTCTATTTTCACGGGCTCATGTCTTTCCTGGTTTTAGCCTGGGGAGACTAGCAGGTGTTTGTTATTGACTGTAGACTCAGTAATTGGTTGTTTTCTCCAAATCTATTTTAACCCTGAACTTTATTTTTATTTTTGCTCACTGATGTTTCCCTTTCATCCTTTACTAATTTAACCATGTTCCCTGAAGGCAAATCTTTAACACTGAGATAGATCCATTCAGCAAGTTTAGACAAATTAACATTCATAATATTCCACATATGAAAATACTTTTACTTCCTCAAAACACTTTGAGACCTTCTATTTGGCTATTAAGTTGTTAATACTAATGGATTACCATTATACCCTGTAGCTTTAAAAAAATCAGATAGAAACAGGGATGACCCTTGATAGATTCTAGGGAAAAATTATGCATTAAAAATAAAAAGAATATGTCTTTTGGGATTTTGTGCTACAGTTTACAAATGTGAAATAATTTTATCCTTTATGCCCAGTTTATCTGAAATGTCTCTGAATTTTAATATATCTTTTATATACTAAACAAAAGATTGAAATACTTGAGCATTTACTGGGTCAAAACTATAAATTAAGACCCCAAAGTTAGTTGGAATACCAGATCAAATGATAATGATTTGAATAGAAATGACATATTTTAAAGGTGCTTGATTTACACAGTTCAATATTTAGAAGCTCATTGTAGCCCTTCTTGAGTTACATCTGCCTTATGGAAACATCAGAGTATGTCTAGCTACCTGGGTGTTCTTAATAGTCACATTGAGTACAAGGTAATTGAATTCACTTTGAAAGCATGTCTATTCATGGAAATGATTTATTGCTAACTCTGTCACTAATTAGCTCTTTGACCCTAGAGAAAGTACTTAACCTAGCCTGCTCCTCAAATTCCTTCCCTGTCAGATAAAGGGATTGGACCAGATGATCTCAATTGGTTCTTTCTGTTTTTAAATATCTATGACTTGATGAAACAAAAACTGAAGTCAGTGCTGGCATTGGGTGCTCTCTGCTCTGAGTTCCATAAACACTTGCTTCTCACAGCCCCTTGGCAGCACAGGGGAAAATGCCTCCCTTGAAGTTAAAAGGTCCTCTTCATTAGCCCGTCAGGCACGGACGGGCTTCTTAGCATATATTTTTGATGCATCTCAACCTTTTCTAGAGCATGACAAACTATGCCACAAACCCAGGATAATCTGTGGTTACTTGGCCTATTAACAAAAGTTTTTGACTTAGAAAAAAAAACAAAACAGGCCCTGAGACTTTATTTTGGAGCTAGAAACCACTCTTTTTTTTTTTAATCTTAAAATACCCAGGCACTTAGCCAAATTTGTTACTGACATTATTTAATGACTATTATATTTCTGTAGCAACTGATTTTAGGTACATAATGATAATGAAACTATAAGAAATTCTCATTAAATCAAACTATGAAACCACAAATGTTTACAATGTTCCTATTATCTACTTGCTATGCCCTGGCCTAAGCTAGGGTCAGACCACATGGTTTGAATCTTGGCTCCACAATCCCTCCGACTGTTAATTCCAAGCAAGCAGTTTAACTTTGAGTCTTAGGTTTCCTTTTACAAAAAGGGCTGATAAAACACTTGTCTCAAATATAATCTATCATTGAATTAGACACTATAGAATGCTTATATATTTGGTATATATTAGCTCAATAAGTGATAGCCATATTAATCCATTTACTTTGTTTTTTTTTAACTTGTTAAATATTGAAGATAATGTCATTTAAACATTAGGATAGAAGAGTTCTAAGCAGAAAGACTTGACCAAAATTGCTCAGTACAGTTCTCAATGTCTTTAGATTCTGCTTTTCATTAGCTCAATGCCTTTGGGTAAACTAAACTCATCTTCACTTGCAAAGTAGGAAAAATAATTTTCAGGAAAGGTTAAATGAATACAAGTGAAAACACCTGTTGCATAATAGTCCGGTAATTGCTTGTTTTCTTCCCTTGAAAGGGATTATAGAGATGAATGACTAAAACTTCACTATTTTCTCATACTTAGAGTCAACATTGTACTGAAACCTTGGAAGGCAGTAAGTCTCCATTTTATTTTGAAGAAAAGATTCCTTGAGAATTAGATTTCATAGCTTGCTACCATTACTCTAAACCAAATGAAATTTAAGCTAATTTCCTCCTGTTCTTGTCTAAGGAAGGATAAAAAACAACTGGCGATTATTTCCTCTGGGAAATATTCACTCACATTCTTAGGTCACCCATTAACCTTCCATTCTCTGACCTTAAATAATGCCATTTTCAACGGAAGTAAAAAGATATTTATTTTCCTTAGTTTTACTTCTACCACCCAATTCAACCCGCAAACTTATTAATTTCTTTTCCAAGGAGGCTAAAAGGTTGGATAACAAAAATTGGGAAGCATGAGCCTAGTTAATGGAATTTATTGGCTATAAAAATGGTGATGACTAATTAGCAGCAGTTTTATTGAATCATTGCCAAGATATTTGTGTTGAATTCTAGATAGTAATGGGACAATAGGATTGATATGTCATGGCATACCAGTAAGATATTGA